TGGGAAGATCAGAAGCCTGAACCGGCCTCCCCAGATTATTTTGCCATAAAGGTCTGTAACAATGGAGTCGTTTCATTTTTTGGCCTCGAGATCCTTGTCCAAGAGGGCCACCCCTGCCGATAGCTGACCAGCACCTTTGGGGAAACCCTTCAAGTACGCCCCAAAGGCGAACGGGATTTGGGTCCTTGCGTGATCATCCTTGATGATGGAGAATTCATCAGAGGATTTAAATATTTCCCGGACGGCGGACAGATCCACGTTCACTTCATAGGGACCGTCCGGGATGCTGGATGGCACTTCTTCAAATTTGACCTGTGCGGCCTCAGCGGCAAGGACCTTAGCCTGGGAAGCTGCAAGTTGAACCCGAAGGGTACCAAGTTCAGCATCCAGCCTCTGCTTCTCCTCCACAAAGGCCTTCCGTTCGGCCTCCAGAGAGGTAATGGCGGCGGCGGCATGTTGCTCAGCAGAAGATTGAGCAACAATCAGTTCCCGTTCCTTGGCCAGACGGGCTTCCCGCATTTGAAGGGTGTACAGACCCATCTACAGAGCACCGTTCGAGAGTTAGTACTGATTACAGAGAATAAAATAAAAACAGGACGTAAAAAATAATGTACCTTCAGAGCGGTCAAGGCCAGGCATTCTTCAGATTGCTCGACCGGCAACTGAGGAAGGGAAAAATTGTTGAACCATGAGGAGGTTGACCAGATCTGGCTCGCGGTAGAACCAGCCCTTTCTAATACCTCGTGGACAGGATCAGATAAGGAGATCCGCTCGACCTGACCAGTAATATGGTCGGTATGGGTCTCACCTGCATTCGAGGGTTCCCCCCGAACGGAGTCAAAGTGCTGAGAGAACTGATGCAGTTGGTCAGAGCCGAACCGATCGTCGACCAGCATGGCCTCGAATTGGTCCTGATGGACCTGCTGTATTGGCTGTGGCTCTGGGAGTGGTTGAGAAGAGGCAGCATCCTGAGCAGGGATAATGGAGGGAGTAGGTTGGGGGTTCTTCCAGGATTTTTTCCGTTTACCGGCCCCACCGGCTGCGATAACTCTGCTGTCATCCATAGGAAGATCTGGGTTTGGTGCTGAAAAAAGACAAAGGGCAATATTAGTATCGAGAGGCCTTAGCGTGTGAGAATCTAGAAAAAAGAACAAAAGAACGTTTCTCGCACGGGAAGGACCGCCCGGACCATGGCACTTGGTTTCTCAAAACAAGTAAACCCAAGAGAACGGGCAGTACCTATCCCGGCTGTAATAAGTCGTTCGGGAGTCAGATAACTCATGATGTCCATGCATTTATCCTTCTCCACAGCAAGCACGTCCTTGTAAATTTCTTCAGTGAGGACAGGATCAGGAGTCTTGCAGGGGAAGGCATTCCATTTGCGGGGAATTAGGCCGTCCGGGACAGACACGTAGAAAAACCGGTCTTTCCACCCTTTGATTGAAGTTGGGTTTCCCTTGAACAGGATGTGTCCCGTTCGGGCACTAGTGGCCAGATAGCCGTGGGTTTGTTGGGGGGCTACCTTGAAAAATTGGTGAAAGAGTTCTAGGGTCGGTCGGGCGCCGACATCTTTACAACGGCAAATAAAACCCGCCATTGCCCAATAGGAGTTCGGCATAATTTGGGCCGGTACAACTTCGTAGAAATTGAAGAAAGAAATGTAAAAGGGGTGTAGCGGAAACCTAAGGCCGGCCCTAATTGAGTCAAAATGAACTATGGTCATTTCGGGCCTATGACGCATTGGGTGAAGCCCAGCTTGCAAACGGAAATCCACCGGGTCAGGGATAAGGGCCGGAATTTCGGCCCTATTATGGGAGGTCAGCTTTGCCGCTTCTCCCTAATCAATTTTAGGTCAAGGGTATGGCGAGGAAAATCGTTGGGACGTCCGGCCGCCATGGAGGCTATTTCGTCCTCGGATTTGGTGTCGTCGGAATCTTCACTGGAGGAAGAAGAAGTGCTAGGAAGGTCCTCCGCCTCAGCCCTGGTATTCGTCGCCGTTTCAGTAGAACCACCGGCAAACGGGACTGTGATGACGTCCACAATGGCGGCGTCACGGTCATCTCCATGGGAGGCCATCTCCGAATCAGAGGAATGCTGTTTGGGGCTCATCTCGGTCGAGTCAGAAATGAAGATAAGAAATCCGGATTTGGGAAGTTACCTGAGCGATGGAAGCTGGGAGAAAATTGCAGGGGAATCAATAAGGCGCAGAGGATTGCAGAATCGAAACCCAGAATTGAGAAGTTAAAGGCTAATTTATAGCCTTGAAACCGCCGTGTCAAGAACCAATCAGAGAGCGACACGTCACTAGGAGCATTTAAGCTAAACACGTGTCTAATGAAAAGACTAAACGACGGTTATCATGATACATATGGGGAAATGAAGCGGCAGCCGTCAAATCGCAGCATGTGGAACTGATTACTTCTGTACCCCGATCGCCATTCGGGGTATTATAATATTGATATTCATACTTCTTAATGCACTCACTATCGTTCGAGACATCGGAAGTGGGGGACTTGTGTTGGGATATTGACCTAGAGGCCCAATACCCAGATCGAGAAGACCCAAGATATCCGGCCCAAGCAACGGGCCCATCACTCTATGATGAATAGATCCAGTAAGAAGACATACCGAACGGAGTTCGGCCCAAATAAAGGTTGGCCCAGTAAGAAGACATACCGAACGGGGCTCGGTCTATATATCATACTTGGGCCAATTTGACAGCATCTTCAGTACAGCCCAACATCCCGTTCGAGCAACGGCCAACCAGCAAGTGGTCAGGTGTAATTAATGTCTGACTGTGACATCAGCAAGTGGAAGCATGGATGACCAAGTCGGTGGAACAACGGCCAATCAGCATGGGGCAGCCCATGCTCTCCATTAGTATAAATAGAAGGTTTCAAGTCATTGTAAGGGTTAGCATTTCAATACTCAGGCTCTAGAATAACATCATTGCTTTTATTTCTTGTATTAAAGCATAGTTTCCGACCTACCGATCGGGAAATCCATTGTAATGAGATTGGTTAATTAATACAAGTGAGCTTTCGAGTGTTAGTTAGTTCAGATCTTATATTTTCACACGCTTTGATTCTGTGTCATTCCTGATATATCCAAAGTTCGTGTTGGGCTTTCGGATCTACGGGATTTACTTTCAACAGAGCCCGTTTGGTAACACTGAAATTGGCTGAATTGCTTGATTCAACTGAAATTTATGAAGTTCTGTCTGAAATGGTTGCATTGGCTGATTCTGCTGATTTATTAAAAAATTATATTTAAAATATTTTTTATTAACGAGATAGAGAAAACGTTATATGATAAATTAGCTAAAATAATCCTCTACAGTAACTTCACCAAATACAACCAGAAAAGTAACACTAGCCTCATTTTTTCTTATCATGCCGTATTACACAATTCAGCGTGAAAAATCAAAAGTTACGTTTGGGTGAAAAAATTGACTAATAAGCCGAAAAATAGGGGCACCAAACGGACTCAAAATCCAACTTATTTTTGTTATTTCATTATTATTATTCAACTAATTCTTGTTGTATCCACCCTTATACAAACCGTTATACCCACCTCTGTGAAAGTTCGTTCAGAGACAAAATAAGAATAAAAAGGGAAAGTTTCCGAAATAGGACTAAAATAGTTTGAAAATTCCAAAACAGGACTGTCATATTTTTTATTCCCAAAATAGGACTAATTGCAGTCATGTTTAGAAAGTACTGTCATGTTTGAAGTCTCGTACTACCAAAACATGACAGTAATTAGTTCTATTTTGGGAATAAAAACATGTCAGTCATATTTTGGAATTTTGAAATTATTTTAGTCCTATTTCGAGTAATATCTCGAATAACAAGAGAGATTTCAACAAGTAGGAGCAAAACATACGGATTTTCCAAAACTAAGACCAAAGATTAGCGTAAGACTCAATTACACTTGCATTGACCACAACACCCTTACTTTTAGAAAATAACAGAAATTAAATAGACAATAAGTAGACAATAAGTAGACATTAAATAAACAATAAATTCTGATAACAACAAAAAATAGAGCATTTACAGATGAGAAGAAGAAGCGAGAGAAAAACAACGACAACAGGAGAAAAGAAGAAAACGAGAGAAGGATGAGGAGCAGGGAAACAGAAGAAGGGATCTGAATAATCTTCAACGGAGCTGCACTGTACCTCGCTCTTGCCATCCATCGCACGTCTCTTTTGCCGTCAGCTCAGACCTGCCGCAGTGCCGCCGCGCCACCTCCCCGCCTAATTTAGATCCAGCTTCCCAGATCCGCATACCGCTCCCGATTGTTCTGCCAAGGAGCCGCTCCCACAGTCGAAAGAGAAGCTTGGCTGGGTAACTGGGTTTGTCGATGCGGAACTACGGAAGAGGAGGCAAATTACTCCCTAATAAGTTAGGGGCAAAACTGGAAAGTAATAATAAAGTTTCCTAGAATGGAAGTAAATTAATCTCACATATGGAAGAAACATACCCAAGTCCTACTTTTATAAATGTGCTATTATTTAGTCTTAGGGAGAGCAATTTTCTCGAATAACAATGCATAGAAGTGTGAGTACAAATATCATTGGGAAAATGGAAACTAATAATCCAACCTTTTAGCGGTCTTCTTACAATAGTCCCACCTTTTGATTATTCAGGAATAATCCAACCTTTGCACCCCATCTTCATTCAATGATCCTTGACCGGGTGATGACCTGCTATTCCAAGTTATTTTCTTATCTTTGCAAAACATTATGTGACCATAAGGTGAGATTTATGGTATAATATATTGCAAAGATAAGAAAATAATTTGGAATAACAGGTCATCAACCGGTCAAGGACCATTGAATGAAGATGAAGTGCAAATGTTAGATTATTCCTGAATAATAAAAAGATGAGACTATTGTAAGAAACCCGATAAAAAGTTGGATTATTAGTTTCCAATTTTCTAATATCATTTTGGTTCATTAGGTGTGGTTCGTCCTTTACAGATTAACTAGAATGCGGGCTTTTCGCAGTTGCTTATATAAATGTGATCTTTTTTGAATAGGCCCAATTCCTACCTCTTTCTTCGTCTTCTTCCTTCATGTTCAGCCGTTATCAAACCCTTCACTAACATCCGGTCCCGAAGTAGACGACGCTGAGTTAGATTGCTCGCCAGGCGCCAGCACAAACATCTCGAAGATGTTGAGAAGGAATGTACGGTTGAGGAGAGAGTACCTTTACAGGAAGAGCCTGGAAGGCAAAGAGCGTTTGCTTTACGAGAAGAAACGCAAAATCAGAGAAGCTCTTGAAGGTTCAGTTTGTTTAATTACGTAACAGATTCAAATTTTGGTTTTTTTTTTCGCTCTTATTGACTACACTAATGATTTGTTGGTGGGCAGAGGGAAAGCCAATCCCAACTGAACTCAGAAACGAAGAAGCGGCTCTTCGTCAGCAAATTGACCTCGAAGACGAGCACACTGCTGGTATGCTTCAAAAGTGTCTTGCATTTAAAACTTGTTTTGGGCACAAAGAGATTATTTCTCTGCTTATTTATTGAAGGCTAAGAAACAATATTGGCTTCATTGTAATATGAAAATGAGCAAAGATTTATTTTTGGATCCTGAGAGGATGAGTCTTGAACTTTGGAACAAAAAATGAAGGAGTTGAATGATTGATGTGCTATTGTACTAACTTCTATGTAGCTATGTAACTCGCAATCCTATGCATTAGTTAATGAGTTAATGCATTGTATTTTTATTTAAATTTTGGCATGCAGTGCCTAGGTCTACTATTGATGATGAATATGCTCACGCTGCCGAAAAGGATCCCAAAATTTTGATTACCACTTCCCTCAACCCAAGTGATCCTCTCACTCAATTTGTGAAGGTTGTTCTTTCCTGCTGTTTATCCAATTTTCTTCTTTAACAACTACAGTCCATGTTTTTTCCTTTTACTTTTTAAGCATCATATGCTCATGTCATCATCCATTCGAGCTATTACTCCGTATATGCTTTCTCTGACTTTTTCAATGTTTTTGGTCCTTGTGACAGGAATTGAAGATTGTATTCCCTAATGCAACGCGAATGAATCGTGGCAGTCAGGTTGGTTGATATTTCAATTTTCCTGTATTTTCTTGTTTGATTGTTTATATCATTCTTAAATGTTTGTTTGGGAGAAACACTAGAGTAAAGTAATATATAATTACCCGATGGTTCTACAAATCGGCCTAGGCGCTAGGCGGTGGCCGGGCGCCCCGATTTCGGTGTATTTGGTAAAAAAATCGGACAGGCTCCTAGGCGGGTTAGGCAGTCGGGGTTAACTTTTTTCCCGATCCAACTTATTTTTTTCATTTTGTCTTGAAACGTTTGATCAATAAGTATTCTATTCCTATACGGAGTATAATTTAGTTTCATATGACAACAATAAAAATTATGTAGTAATTGTTAAATACATATAAACTTTTTAGAATCTGTATGAACATTTTTAGAGACTAAAAAACAAAACTCTCTTTATTTATTATTTTATTATTCATAATGCTCTACCAAAAACGTAAAATATACTGATTATATGAGCTATTTATGTGATCAAATTATTATAAAATTATTGGTAATATATTTAAAATTTAATGACAATAAAAATAAACCAAAGAAATAAAGAGAGAATGCCTAGTCGGCGCCTAGGCGGGCTAGGCGCCCTAGTCGGCGCCTAGGTGGGCTAGGTGCCCTAGTCAGTGCCTAGGTGGCCAGTCACCGCCTGCCTAGTGCCTAGCGCCTAGCGCCTTTTAGAACACTGATTGTACCTGGTTGTACTCTAAAAGCTGCCCTCACCAAGCTTGTTGAATATGTTTCTAAATGCAGGGAATACCAGAAATTATTGAAACCTGCCGTAGTCATGATTTTTCAGATGCTATTTTTGTTCATGAGTTTCGAGGCGTACCTGATGGTATTATCATCAGCCATTTACCTTTTGGCCCCACTGCCCATTTTAGATTACTCAATGTGGTGAGTAGTCTTAGACTTGCAACAGTTTGTAAATTTTATTTTACATATTTTGTCTCTAAAGGAGTGAAGATCAGCAAGCTGTAGTAGGGAGTATGACTGTATTACTTGGGTGCAGGTAACAAGACATGATATTAAAGACAAAAAGGCTATGGGAACTATGCCTGAGGCTTACCCTCATTTGATATTTAACAACTTTTCGACTAAGGTAATAGCTTGAAGACCTTTACTATAATCCTTGTATAGTGCAATTATACTTTTGGTCATTGACATGATTAGCCTGATTTCAGTACTCAATTTTAATAAATGGGAAAACTGTCAAATATGTTCTAATACTATATCCAAAAAGTCAATTGATGCTTCGTACTATTGAATCACCCAATCAAACCTCCAACTATAAAAAATACTCAATTTTCCTATTTTGCCGGTTGATTTTAGGTATTGGCTTATTTAATGGCTGACCTGGACACCCATGTGGCATTAATTTTTCTCCTTTTTCTTATTTTCTTTCTTTATTTCTCTCTTTTTTCTTCTTCTCTCCCAGGGGAAGCTGTTACCGCAAATCCTTCACCACCCTTTCGTTTCTCTTCTCAAAACCCTCTTATTTAACCCTAACCTTAATCATCGATTCCCCAAATTTCACTCCTCGGATCCCATCATATTCATTTCTGCTAACACTGCCACTGCACTGGGAAAGCGTTCTCCGGCAGTTTCTCGATCAGAGAATGAGAAAGCGTCATTGATGCGAGTAGGGGCCAGTTGTTTGTAGTTTGGGCAATGGTCGCTGTATGTTTGTTGGAGATAGTTCCATTTGCGCACATAGATTCATCAACTGTGATCAGGTAGCCGGAGAATGATCAGTCCATAATCGCTGAATAAAGGGCAGCTTTCAGAGAGCTCAGATGGGAGTCTGGAGGCATACTAGCTGTGGAGATGGCATTTAAGTCAATGGCAGTAAACAATGGTGGGGTTGAGATGGAGGAAATTGTGGTTAGTGGAAAAGAAAAGAAAGAAAGAACGGAAAAATAAAAGACAAATGAAAATGAAAAGAGAAAAACTAATGCCATATGGGTGTCCAGGTCAGCAGTTGCCTTTAATACCTATAACCAACAGGCTAAAAAGTAAAATTGGGTCTTTTTTATAGTTGGAGGGTTTGATTGGGTGATTTGACGGTACGAGAACTCAATTGACTTTTTAGTACGAGGACTCAATTGACGATTTGACAGTTTTCCCGTAGTTAAATGATTCATTTTAGTCCTAAATTTCTTCACATTGTGAATATTTTGTAAAATTTCGTCCATCTTTATTGGAGTAGAAGTGGAGGGCTAGTTCACTAACATTTTCATTTATGTTTTCCAACATTCATTTCCTAAACATAAAAATCGGGACACAAATTCATCATTGTGTTTTGACACACATTTTACATCACAGTAAATAAATGGTCCTTCAATAAGACAGTTTCATAAACTGAAACACAAACACATTATTTTAATATAAATCTATCATTCAGATTCCAACCCATTAACCCATTACTCAAGCATCCAGTCTTCCTTATGGTGTAATATTAGATATCCAGAGTCAGAAACCGTAGGGCAATGGAGATGGAAACATAGCCATCTAAACCTTGAAAAGGTTTTGGAGATAAATCTATCTCAAGTGTTTCCGTTGACCATTCTTTATCTTTGTATTGCCAGAACCATTAATTTGAGCGTGTGATGTCTGAAACGAATATACTTGATGCCACAAAGTTGTAGTTGGAGGAGAATGAAGTATTAAAAATTCCCGTGTCTCCAATGAGTCATAATTTAATGTTTCGTTTCAAACCAAAAAAAGAAAAAATTACAATTGAAATTCCAGGATATGAAATAGTGCCTGAAATGAACTGCTGATACATATTTACCATTTTCCTATTTGGAGAAATGTTTCAAAAATTACATTTTTATTTCCTATTTTCCATATGGTAAACACACCAGTAATATTTTTAAACTTCCGGGATATAAAACTGAAAAATCAAAGTGTTAAGGGCCCGGGTAAGCGACCTTGTCCAAGGTCTGGAACGGAAAGCCTGATATGATCGATAAGAGAGAGATGAAGATCTCTGGATCTATGTTTAATTAAATCTGAATAGAGGATTAAAAATAAGAGGCTGAACAGAATTAATCTGATTTCCGACCTAGTGAAGAAATCCCAGAATTAATTCTCTCAAAACTGTTTATTAAATTAACTGAGAACCCTTTATATAGATATTAAGGGTTTCCTTGAGTAAATTGCTATTCTAATGGAACTATAATAAAGGAAGGCTAGTCCCAATAGGATTAACTATAATAAATGAAGACTAGTCCTAATAGGATTAACTATAATAAAGGAAGACTAATCCAAATAGGATTAACTAAAATTAATTATTAATACTAATACTAATAGGACTCTTCTGCTTGCTTGGACCTTTTTCCTTAGCCACTTTGTTTTCTAATTTTATCTTTGCCCCTTCGATCTCTTCTTTTATATGTATGACCATAAAACTGGTCCGTAACACAAAGTTGAGGACCAAAAGTGAAAATATACTAGTCGGTAGACAAAAAGTAGAACTTTCAATGATACTTTTTGACACAGCTTATTTGTCTGCTTTAAGCTAACTGAATTTGAACATGAGAATCTTTTGAATGTTGCAGCTTGGTGAAAGGACCGTAAATATTCTAAAGCATCTGTTTCCAGTTCCAAAGCCTGATACAAAACGTATTATCACATTCGCTAATCAGTCTGATTTTATATCATTCAGGTTATCTGTGTTGCTGTTCATTTTTACCAGCTTCTGAGTTTTTGCTATAAATTCTTACATGTATCCAACTATGAATTTGAAGTAGTGCCTTGTTTATTTCCTGAAAACCCTAGTGTTTGCTGTATAGCTCTCATGGTGCATGGCGACGGTCATGGCGCCAAGGCACTTTGCTGTGGCGATGGCACATTTATGGCTTCACCACGCCCACATGACATACAAAAATAACAAGTATAAATATTAGCTATTGACATTATAAACTTATGATTCAACCACCAGTTAATGAGAAATGGAGTTGCATAACAAATTCTAACCATGACACTCTTAGGCAAGTTAAATTAGTTCCAAGAATAACTTAATTATTAAAAAGGGGCTCAAATCTTCCAAAACATGTCATCTTGTAGTTCGATGATTATGTTCTTATCATCATCAATTATAACATTCCTGACATGGTATCGTCTATAGTGTCTATAGTATTGCCCAACGTTCTGACAGAGACAACAAGGGGCATTTTTGTGGCACAACCCTTTCAAACGCCATTGGCATTTCATGGAGTGTGTTATTTGCGCCATGACTACTATAGTTTGCTGCAGTAATAATAGATTAAACCAATGCTAGATGCATTAGCATCATACATTCTAAAATGTGTCGGGTGACAATGGTTGAAAATATCTCCCATTCCTCCCGTGGGTGACAATGGATATACTACTGCGGTTGGTCACTTTTTTTAGTATGTATTAAACTATAACAGAAAATTGCAGACACCATATCTATGAAAAACGTGGAGGTCCCAAATCAATTGAGCTGAAAGAGATTGGTCCTCGATTTGAACTTCAGCTTCATAAGGTAACTGTCATACTATTTGAGACTAATTCTACCTACCACTCCGTATAGAGTTGTGCTTATAAGAGTTCAAACTTCCAATTTCAAACCAATTCTTTTCAGATGTTCTTGTCTTGCATTTGAGAATTTAGGGTGTTGAACAAACAACATTCTTTATATGATGGGGGAATAAATCCCACCCGTTACTGTTCCTGGAAATAATTTAGTACATCATCATCATTATCATCATATCTTCATTACCCAGTGCCTCAAAGGCTCCCACCTTCGATGGGGTAGGGGGGTCGGATGTACGCAGTCTTACCCTTGTACTAAACCACAAAGAGACTGTTTCCAGATCACCCATAGTGAAAATCATGTTGAAAATTGCATGGAGTGAGTGCTGCTTCATAACAAAGAAGCGCAGACAGTTTAGTGAGCCATTTTGCTTTATTCCATCATATATTGAGGTGATATATTGAGATACTACTATGTATATTAGTATGTGGTATATGTTAGACGAATGCCCAAGAGACCAAGACTCTTAGCATGTGTTTGTCGGGAATAATAAATGCAGATAAGTTGTTTTAGTATAAACTCTAGTGTATGGCTAGGTTCACACAGATTTAGGAACAGGCACACGCGCCGGGGGGCTCAATTTAAGAAAAATGCATGTATAAGGGAAGTCTATCACTTAGACTGGGACTAGATGGATAGTCAGTATATCTTCATGCAATGTATGAGCTTTCTTGACACTTGCTGTTTTAACTTGGTTGCGTTTTGCATTTTTCTTCCGCCTACAGATTGAGCTAGGAACTGTGGATCAACGTGAGGCTCAAACAGAATGGGTCACCAGACCATATATGAACACGTCCAAAAAAAAGAACCTTCTTGGACAGTGAATGGTTCAGTCTCATTGTGCTGCTCGTCACCTTGGCTACGTCAGATATGCTGGTAAAGAGAGCAATGCGGTGCCAAGAGTATCATGGTTACATTATCGCTATATATTTTCATCAAGACAAAACCATGGAGGCGTGAATTTCATGTGATTTAGTTTCAACCTCAACTCCTTGGCATCTTGTAATATTTGATTACGAGGCAAATTTTGGAAATTTGAGTTTTCCTTTTTACAACTCAATCTGTCACTCATATTATCCCACATGTATGTGTTTGGCTATCAAATTTCCCATTTCTATGTAAGAATAGTTAGACTCAGAAACTCGAAAATATGGTGTCAAACAATATGCATACACTTGAGCACTCCGAGGACCTGTTCAGTACATCCGCAGTTTCCGCACTTCCGCAGTGGTTCTGATTTCTGAATGTTGAAATTTAAAACCATTGAGTTTTTCCAGTTAAAACAAGATGACCGAGTTCTCCTCCTAGTTATGCCTATGGCTATGCTTATAGGTGGACTTAGTACCAGATAGTCAAGGGACACGCATCATCTTTTATTGATCAATCTTAGATTCTTACTGTACTATTGCATTAGTAGAGTACCTAATATGAACCGGCCTGGGGTGATACCGGGTCCGGTCCGGGTCGGGCCTACCCGGCCGGGTATTGGGCCGGTTCAGGCTGGGCTCAGGCTATTTAATATATTTTTTTTTAAATATTAAATTAAGATTAGTTTAGCCTTTGTTTGATTTCTAATATTCTGTTGGGTGCTTGGCCTTAAGATGCCTTGTGGCGCTTCCGTACCCTCCAGAAATTCTCAAGTTATACTTTTTGTTGCAATGCTTGTAAGTGGCGTACCATATCTCGGTTTTGAGGTCTTTAACTTTTGTAAAATTTGCCTTAAAGACAGATTCAGATTTCCCACTTGCTTGGTAAGAAGTAGCCACTTCCGCAGTTCCGCTTCCTCTTCCTCATCATCCGGTGTGCCATGAACCTCGTCCTCGACCGTTCGTGGATCCCTCTCCTCCACATCATCATCCTCGAGCTCTTCTTCGTCAATGGTTTGCGGGATGTCTTGTTGATGAAAAAACTTCCTTGATTTTGTATTTTTGTTGCAATAGTTGTTCTAGTTGCTCATCGGACATCGCATCCCCATATCTTTGGTTGTAATCCACATCAAAATCATCTCGGGTTTGAGATGAAGACCCCGGCCCTCCCTTACCTTTGCGTGATCTTGGATGATTCCTTGCAATCTCCTTTGTTCGGTTGCGGCGAAGGTTACCCACATCTACAGAAGCTCTAACACGCTTCATATTAAAAATATAACAAATATTACATTCGAATAACAATTAAACAATTAATTTCGAATTAACTAGTTTACCAATTAACTAAAATTCGAACTATTTGTTTTATAATCTAACAACTTTATTTAACAAGTTTAACAATTAACTAGTTTTTATAGGAGATTAATAAATGTAACAATTAACTAATTTAACAATTAAAAAATTATTTTCGAATTAAATAGTTTGCCAATTAACTAAAATTCAAACTATTTGTTTTACACTCTAACAACGTTATTTAACAAGTTTAACAATTAACTAGTTTTTATAGGAGATTAATAAATGTAAGTATATAATATTATGTTTATAGTATATATAATATAAGTATATTACCATAAGATTAGTAATACACTTATATATAATACTTTAATATATATAAGTATATATTAAGTATATCTAAAATGTAAATATAAGTAAATAAATTAGGGATAATTATATATGTAATATCAAATATGTAATATGTAAATATAAGTAAATAAATATAAGTAACAATAATATAATAATTAGATATTAATATAAGTAGATAATAAATATAATATATGTAGTTATAAATTTGAGAAGATGAAGATGGAGAAGATTAGTAGAGAATAGAGATTAGAGAGTAGGAATATTTGGAGAAGATGTGTACTAAATTGTATAGAAAAAATGGAGTATTTATAGATTTTTTGTACCCCCACCCCCACCCCCACCCCTAACCCACCCGGGACTCCCTGGAAGGCTCCCAATGGCTATATAGCCGTTTGGGTTCAATTACAACGACTCTAAGGCCTGTTTGGATGGCTAAAAGTTTTTTTTAAAAAAAAGTAGCCGTTGGCCCGGACCGGGCCCGGACCGGATGGGCCGGGCCTCCTATTTATTGAACCGTGCCCGAACCGCTCCCCTCCCCCGGGCCGGGTCAAATCCCGAACCTCCCATTCAACAACCGGGCCGAGCCGGGCCCGCACAGTGGCGGTCCGGGCCGGTTCCGGGGCGGGCCGGCCCGGTTTGGTCCATCCCTAAGTAGAACAATCATTTTCTGCCATGAAATTTCTAGACATCACTCCCCAATAGAATGGATGATGACTTTCTTGTTAATTGCATGACACTTTATATTGAAAAAGACTTTACTCTTAGTATAGATGTAGAAAGTATACTCTACTGTTGACAGGCTTTTTGTTTCAAAGCCTCTTCAAGAACAAATTTGATGGAGAATTGTTGTATTTGATTTTTTCCTTTACTTTGAAAATTATCAATGTATTACTCCAGATCATTTAAATGTTTCAGCCTACCTCAACATGAAATCTTGGATCCGTCCTTACGGGTAAGTAAGAAATCTAGGGCCACGGTTGACTAGTCAGAATATACAACGTTAGTTTCACCCCGAACTCATCCGATGGGTTAGTTGAGCTTTTTGCGTAGATTAATTCTTTGGGTCATCTTGGCATTTTTCGGGTGTTATAAAAAAATCTACCACAAACAATTAAAAATATCAATTTAATAAAAAATTTATAAACTAAGAGTAATAAATAATGAAGTTTAGTCAAATAATACTACGTAATAAATTATGAAGCTTAGTTAATACTACCTCTGTCCCAAAAACTATTGTCATCTTAGCTTGTAAAGTTTGGACCATGATTTTGATTAATATAATACTATGAAAGTTATAAATTTTATACTTTAATGAAAGTCTTTTCAACAAAGAACATTTTCATATCAATTTATATTATAAATTGTTTCCAACAAAATATATAGTTGGTCAAAATTTAATAAAGATGATATTTTTTTTGGGATGGAGGTAGTAAGTTAATAGAAAGGGTTAATGAATTTTGGCGTTTTCTTAATTCTCTGTGTATTACTACATCTTACAAAGCCATTTATCTGTTCATTCTCTAAAATTATAAATATCTAGCGATTTAAGAAGTTGATAAGGGATAGGCATGGACTCCGTTCGGGTCGGCCCGGGCCTCGGGTCGTCCCGGGTCTCGGGCCGGGCCTGATCGGGTTTTTTTGGGAATCTTGAGGCCCGGAACCGGCCCGGGTAGCTACCGGGTCCGGGTCGGGCCCTGACCGGTTTGGGCCGGGTCGGCCCAATTTTCTATTTTTATTTTCTAATTACTTCCTACCCCTCCCCCACCCACCCCCACACCCCAAACCCGCCCAAAACACCCAGCCCAACCCATTTACCTTTTTCAAATTTTGAAAAACAAAAAAATGGCCCGAAGCGTGCCCGGCTCGGCCGGGCCGGTTCATGTTTTTGAGGCCCGGAGCCCGCCCCGAAACAGTACCGGGTCGGGTGGCCTGAAGTGGGAACAGACTCAGGTATCGGGCCGGTTACGGGCCGGTTGACCCGACCCGAGTCCATTCCTAATAAGGGATGTTAACGCAGTGACACGGTGAGGAAAAAACATTTAATAATGACATTTTAGTGCTTAGTTGCTTACGAATGCACAATATTTGTTATTTCACATAGATGATCTATAGCAAACTTGTTAAACACGTGTATGACTTATCATGAAAGAGATAATGTATTAGGTATAAGGTAAAACTAGGCATGTCAAAAAAAAGGGCTTGTAGAGACCTGCCCTGCCATGAGGCTTTTGGGGCAGGTCCGCCCCGCCCCGTCTTGCAAATGGGACGGGTCCGTCCTGTCCCGTGTCTACAATGGGACGGGTTCAGGTATTAGTATTGACCTGTGCTACCCTGACCCTCCCCGACCTGCTCAATATATAAATGTACGTACATCATTTTTCGAATTACACATAGTGCTACAAATACATGCATACATGCGCGTTCACATGTATAGTAGTACATGAGTAATAATTTATTAATTTCTTGATCTTGTAATATATTAATATTTACATTTTGAACAAGAGGAGAAGTTAATTATCAATGTGTTTTTTATATTTAGCCTCTATATATTTATTTATTCATAAAGAAATAGTTAATTATTCAAGTCTAAATCACTTCTTAAATTTTGAAACTTTTTATTGTATTAGGACTTTGATTTATTATATTTGTTTTTTAAAATTATTTGGACATACAATTTATGCAAAATTCAAGCTATAATGACTTCACGGATCTAGAAATGTGTACCAACTATTAGGTTAATGCAGAGAGGGACGGGTCCACCTAGTTATGTCACGGGCGGGTCCGGGTCCTACACTACCCGCCCCGACTCATTGACATGCCTAGGTAACACTTGACATTTTTTTTAAGTTAAAGTTGACATTATTTTTAACAATGTGACATTGTTTTATTTTAAACAATGAATTTATTCCTCACTAAAAATATTATTTTCTAAGATGGTAATGCATATGCCAAGTACCTTGTGATCTGATGGCATCACTGTGACACTGCCAATGAGGAGGTCACAGGTTCGAATCTCATCCCAGTTCAAGAGTGTTGGCCTTAACATTGAACAGATACTATAATAGGTTAGAAAGCTTTGCAAACAAAAAAGATGGTAATGCATATAATTAGGCCTGAGACCGGTTCAGTTCCTATGCAAAATAGATGGAACCGTTAGAGAAATATCAATATTTAATAAGGGTTCGATTCTTATAATTTTTTTATAGAACCGATATGAAACTAAACCATTCTTAACGGTTCAGTTCTTGTCATTTAACGGTTCCTAGGTTTTAAAAAATTTCTTACAAATCAACATTAAGTTTGTGCCAAAAAATCATTCAACGTTTGAAATTATAAGAAATATAAGTATGTTATCATCATTTCAAATCTCAAAATTTGAGTTTATAACATAAATACACACCAAACTGAAAATTTTAGTAAATAAAACAAAACAACATATTGACTACAATCAATAATTATGATCTTGATCAACAACGTAATTAGCCAACAAAAATTTCATTCATCTCAACGGGTCATGTGTAGAGCATTCAATTTCGACCATCTGGGCCTCTAATAAGAGGCATAAGAGTCCTTTCAAAAAAAGAGGCATAAGAGTCTTAGATTAACCCGTTAAAATAAATAATAATGTTAAATACTTAAATAACTACACTAAAATAGTCAGTGTCGTATAAAAATAAATAAGTAAATATACATTAAAATATAGATAGTATA